CAATAGAAGAAAGATACCCAGTGTCAGCCTCTCTGGTTTCCACAGTCTCTGTCTCTGTTTCTCTGTCTCTGTCTGTCTGTCTCTTACACACACACACACACACACACACACACCATAAACTATTTTATGTGTATGTGTGCTTAGCCTGCATGTGTCTGGGTACCACTTGTGTGTCTGGTGCCAGAAGAAGATGTAGAATTTCCTGGAACTAGAGTTACAGATGAATTTTAGTCACCATGTGGGTCCTGGGAATTGAACCCAGGTCCCCTGGAAGAGCAAGCAGCCAGTGTTTCATCTTTCCAGCCCCATAAACTTTTACAATTGTAGATAAAGTTGAACTTTTTTTAAGTCCTTCCCTTGTACAGCCCTTTCATCTCTCCCCTTCACATCCTTTTCCTTTCACCATAGACAACCACAGTCTTGAACTTCATGTGATCAGTGTAGTTCATGATTGATACTTAATTTTCCCACAAACTCGTATTTTTGTACTTATAATTTCATTGGGAATATTTAATGCTTTTTGGTTTTGTGGCTTAAAGACATTTACAAAAGTAATATATTGTAATACCTTTCACAGTTTTCTTTTTTCACAGAGTCATATGTGGTTTTGGCCTGGAGTGATTTGGATTTGGAAAAATTGATTGTGACCGGGTCTCACTTTGTAGCATTGGCTAGCCTGGAACTCCCAGAGATCTTGCTGTCTCTGCCTCCCAAGAGCTGGAATTAAAGGCGTGCACCACCATACCTGGCAGAACAGTGTATTTCTATGGTCTGTGTGGAGAGTCAAATCTAGCTGGTCTCTTTTATTGTGCAGAATGTCATTACACCACTGCATTCAGTCCATTCCTTGTTGCTGTGACCAAATGCTTGAAAAGAAGCAACTTAAGGAAGGAAGGGATTAGTATGGCTCACAGTTTAAGGGTATGGTGCATCGTAGCTGGGAAAGCATGGTGGCAGGATGGTTTGCAGCCGGGACAGCTGGGACATGAGGCTTCTTGCTCACATCTTGGTGGGTCTGGAAGCATAAAGGAGAATGTCAGTACTCCACTTGTTCCATTTTTATCATCGAGATAATGCTGCCCACATTTACAGTGAGTCTTCCCTCCTCAGTCATCATTGGAAAACTGCTCATAAACATACCTGTTACTCTACCTCATTGATGCCTTAGTGAACTGTAACAGCCATATGTGTCATTGCATTAGCACGCTTACTTTGTCATTTCTCTATTAATTAACCTTTAATCTTGTTCATAAATTTTGCAAATATTTGATGAATATGCATGTATCCTAAGTGCTGTGCTAAGTACTCATGCTGTGCCAGTGAATAATTCAAATAAAAATCTTTAATTTCTGGTAGATTAGCAAAGTAAATAATAACAATAGTACATAAGCCTGCAGTAAATTATATTAGAAGGTGTCGGTTACTTTCCTGTTGCTGTGACAAAGCACCATGTCCAAGGCAACTTATAAAAGAAGGTGTTTAATTGGGTTTACGTTTTCAGAGGGATAGAGTCCATGATGGTAGAACAAAGGCATGGTGGCAGGAACAGTTGAGAGCTCACATCTTGATCCACAAGCACACTGGGAATTGGAAGAGTCTTTTGAAACTTCAAAGTGCGCCCCCACCCCCCACTGACACACTCTGTCCAACAAGGCCACTTGTCCTAATTCATATGAGCCTATGGAGGCCATTTTCCTTCAAACCATCATATTAGGTGATAAATGATGTGAAAAAAGAATCAACTACAATCTGCAATGTGATTCAGGGTAACAGGTTGCTATTTCTGATGATGGGATCTGGTAATATTTGAGCAGAAAGGAGTTAAAGTGAAGGAGTTAGAGAATTCCTTCAGAGAAAAGAGCCAATGTAAAGTCACTGAGGTGGGAGTGTGTCTGTGATTTGAGGGAACATGGAAAGGGCAGCTTCCCAGAGAACAAGAGCAAAGAGGGAGGGGAAGAGGAATGGTCTCCTTCTGAGGTGACTATGTGGAATGGGGAGGCAGTATTTGTTTAATATCTATAGTAATAGTAACTGACTTTGTGCCAGGTATTGTTCTAAGCACTCTTATGTCGATACTGCTGTTAACCTTATTTTATAGGTAGTGAAACTGAAGTACAAAGAACTTACTTAGATACTAGAGTATCTGGTTACCCAGAGTAACCTAGCTAAATAGCAGAAGTAAGATACAGACCCAGGTCAACTCATTCAAAGACAAAACTCTTGGGTCTGAGGTGATCTGGCTGGCTTGGCAAGGGTCCCCTTCCTACCTCCTGCAAGTTCCTCCTGAAACTACACAATCCAAGGAGACAGCCTTCCCCCCTAGAAGAGGACCATGCTTCTGTCAAGGGTGTAAAAGTACCTGTGCTCCCCAGCAGGACCTTCAAGCTAGTTCTCAAGACAAAGCTTTAAGCCACACTGCCATCCTTGGGTGTCCATCTTCATATCTTGCCTGAGCCTTACCCTTCACCTACTATAATTCAGCTCCCATTGCAGCTACTCAACTTGAAATTGCATCAACAAGTTGGTTTGCAACTCCATTCTTTCTGCAGCTTCTGCTGAAGTTCATACTTGCAGCCAGTACCTAGTACGTACAGTGCACCAGCCTGTGTTTTATAGGGATGAACAAGGCAGGCAAACCGCAGTGGCTGAAGAATGCTTGTGTCTTGTTCTCTTGATGTCTGCAGACTTTTTTGTGGATGGTTAATAGGCCGGTTTGCTGTCCCATATCTTTGTTTGTCTGTGGCTAAAACAGATCATGCAGTTGTTTTGTTTGTGGCTTCCCAACATAGGAAAATAATATATTTAAGTATTTACCACGTTTGATTGTTTTTTTTCCAAATAGAAATCTGTATCTCTCCATGTGATTGTCTTGACTGTGCCAATTATTTCTCATATTATTTCTCATATAATCATTGAAGATGAATGGCAAAAAGTTCATTGGCTTTGACCTTTTACCTTTTTTCTCTACTAGCATCCATTTGAGTTAATTTAATGCTAATTTGGAAACATCAAAATCTCTGCAGAATATTAAATAATTTTCATTCCATATGGCCAAACAAAAAGCTACTCCAAGCAAAATGCTTTCATTCATGGAGACACAGTTGTAGGCTTTTTATCATGTTGCCAAGGCTAAGCATTGGAACCAGCGTTGAGGGGAAAGCGTTTCCTGCCTCTTTCCACATGTCGCCCGCAGTCACTTGCTGTGTTTTCATTCCTTTCCTCCATTCAATAAAGAGGAAAAAGGATTCTCTCAGTCTTCTTCATGCCTGGAGAAACTAGTGCGTGTTAGCCGTGCTCGAATGGGAATGTGTTCCCTCTGGTGACTGGAAGCAACTCAAATCCTATTGGCTACATCTTGGGTTACTGTTTGTGTCCCATCACTGTCTGTTTACAGCAGCCGTCAGCGACTTTCTCGAGCTGGGCTGTCATGGCCATTGCCTTCACTGAAACCCAAATGCCTCTTAGAAGAAAGATGACAGATTCCACCCAGCCACTTGCAAAACTTGAAAAGCAGTGCCTTGTCAAACACGTGAAAAACAACTCTTCTTCTCTCTGACTTGAAGGGAAAAAGAGAGAGACTGTCTTACTCCAGATGTTGGTTCCTTGCTAGTGAAACAGGCCTGAGCTGGTTCATCCCCATTCCTTTGTCTTCCCTTTGCAAAACCCACAGAGAACACATTTGGGGCCACTTTGCAGAGTTGGCAAGAGTCTCTGCATTTTAAGGGAATCATATGGACACAGAATGCCACAATCAATAGACTCGGAATCCCCAGGGCCCAGAAATGGGATGCTTAGGACTCACATTCTAGGTCATCAGTTAGAATGTGGCCTGGACCCAAGAATCATCCCAATTGTTGCCAGGTTTTGCTTACTTGATTAAACTTGATTCAAACTAGGTTGAGGAGAGTTTTTATTTTCTTGTTGATTAGTGGTGGGGGCCAGGAAAACAAAACAAAAAAAAAAATGAAATGAAGGTGGAAGATGGAGAAGGAGTCAGAATGAGAGCAACTAGGATCTTTAAGACTCCCCTTTGGAAGACAGGTGAGGCAGCCAAACCACTTTCTCATCGCTGCCGATCTGAACAGGCCAAGCTTTTCATTGGAGTTAGGTGCCTTTCCTTACCATCTATGTGATAAGTAGTGTAGCTATCTTCATGGATTTAAAGAGGGTCAGAGAGGACTTCAAATGGGGAGGAGAAAGAAGGGGAGGAGAGCAGAGCAGAGGGAGAGGGAGGGGAGGGGAAAGGAGAGGGAAGGGAGAGGAGAGGAGAGGAGAAGAGAGGAGAGGAGAGGGAGAGGAAGAGGAGAATTTATTGACAAGCCTGGCATTTCACGGTGATGGATACCATAAGATGTAGTGAAATCCATATTGAAGATACTGTAACATCCATGGTTACCTCCTTGCTAAGTATGTTAAGGACTTAAACAATAGACTGGTATTTGTATTAGTTGGTTTGGTTTTTTTGTTTTGTGGGGTGGCACCCCTACTTTTTCTCCTGGGGTGCTCTTGAGCAGGGAGAAATGAGGAATATGTAGATAGAAATATAGAGGAGAGAGACAGTTAGAAACACAGGATAGCCTTGGGAGGGCCTGGGTCAAAACCCACCAGCCCCTTCTGTCTCTGCTAAAGGGCTTTTAAAGGAATGCCAAGGGGTGGATTAAAAGACCTCCCCCCAGCACAGCCAAGCGCAGGCCATCTCAAATACCTGGTGACCATGCACATGGTCAAGCCATCCCCTAATGCAGCCCTGCTGTGTAAAGCAAGCTCAGATCTCACTAGGAAACCTTTGTGGGCTCCCACAGTTTTGTTTTGTTTTTTTACAACTTCTTCTCCTTGACCTAAGGGTCTATATGTCAGAAATCACAGCCCAGCCCTTTATATGTTTCCTTTTAATAATGTTGACTTGGGTCATTCTCAACTATTTCAGCCAATGCGTCTTGTCTGATAGTTCTGCTTCTGTGCAAGAAGATATTGACCTCCTTCATTATTTTCCCCCCTAGGTGTCTGAACACACTCAATTAAGTTGGATCCTCACCTGCATGGTCAGACTGCCTCGATTGCAGCATTTACACCAGTGGAAGGTAAATGCCAGGACATGTTAATGGAAAGGAAGGCTTCTGTGTGTTGCTGTGCCAGGACCTAGGAGTCCTGAGTTCACTCACCACCCTGGTCTGCCACTCACTATTGGCTGGACCAGCATCGTTCACCTCTCTACATCACAGTGTTAAGCAAAATATAAAAGGGTTCACCAAGACTCCTTCTGCCTTCAGAACTCTATTTGTTACTTGTTTTATCTATATTTGGATAGACTTGGTGATGACTGTGACCTACTGCATTATAATTAATGAACAATCAGAATCTCTGGAATGCTGTTCCCTGATGTTACCTTCCATCTCCACTGGAACTAACAAGCATCCTGGAAAGAAGGTTTTCACTGTGGGGAGAAGATATAACACTTTTAACATTTAAACAAGTTGAGCCTAGTTCAAATCCACAGAAGAAAATTAAGACTGTTGTTGTAAGAAGTGCCACTAAGAAAGATAAGTTAAATAATTCATAGTGCTTTACTGACATTTACTTTGCTACTGGATAACTCGAAGTAGATAGCTCCAACTATGTCAACACTAATTTTAGTTTCAGCTACTTTTGAGCATGTCTTCTGGGCCATTGGTTTCCTCAGAAGTAGTTCTTCAGAAGTCATTCCCTAAACTAGAGAGAGAGGCCCTCCTACAGTGCCAGTTCCTGGACCTCGTGGTCTGGGTGCATGGGTGCCTCTCTCCCAAAGCCTCACCTTGAAGCCCAACTCCCAGCAGCTGGGACTTTGGGAGGTGGTCAGATGGGAAGGGTGGGTCCCTCATGAGTGGGATTGTTGTTTTAAAGCAAGCCCCTTCACCTCTTTCCCATAGCAAGGAAATAAGGACACAAAAGAAGACACAACCGATCGTTCTTGGAGGTGGTTGTGGGAAGGGGGTCTCTCTTCTAGCTCTCGACTTTGTTTTTAATCCTGTACTTCCTGGCATCCAGAACTAGGAAAAACGAACTTCTGTCCTGTTGTTTACAACAGAAACTGATGTCTTGTGGATGTTCAAAGAACCAGTATTAAATAAGACACTAATGACGATGCTGCAGATTGACCACGTGCCGGCAATTGGAAACAAAGGTTTTATAGGGTTCTCTAACATACTTCAATTTTAGGCAAGGCTTTGCTGTTTTAGTACACACTATACCACTAATTTCTGACTGAACCTAGTAATTAAGGGTAAAAAGCTCTCTGAGACAGAATTTCAGTATCCTGGGAAGATATGCTAAGGGCAATTCTGATCAGGTCATTGAGCACAGGAGAAGCATTGTGTGAAGGTCAGGGTTGCTGAGGTCAGGGTTACCTGGAACGTTGATGGGTAAAGCATCTATGGCACATTAACAGCACTCAGTAAGTACTAGTGTTCTCTACATCACCTCACTTCCTTTGTGACTACAAGGACCAATATGCTAATATAAAAACTGCAGGGCTGGAGAAATGGCTCAGGAGTCTTTAGTCTTCCAGCACCCACAGCAGCCTGTGACTCCAACTTTAGGAGATCCTACACCCTCTTTCTGGCCTATGTGGGCCACCTACACACATGTGGCATGCACATACACAGACACACACACATACACATATAAGTAAATATAAATAAAGATAATAGTGATAATATATCCACAAATTGGGCAGCAAGACAACTCAGCACTAGCCTGGTTCAATTCCTAAAACCCACAGCAGAAGGAGAGAACGGACTCTTCAAAAGTTGTCCTCTGACCTCTACATGCAAGCTTCAGCATGTGCCTTCAGTCATGCCAACTTGCACAGGTACAAGAGCACACACACTAAATGAGTGAGTAAGTACTTAAGTAAGTAAGTAAGTAAGTAAGTAAGTAAGTAAGTAAATAAGTAGAAATTTATCTGTAAATTTAATGCAACACAGCTTTCATTTTTTAATCTTTTTTTAACATTTTTATTTATTCTGTGTGGGAGCAGGGTGAGCAGTGGCATGTGGAGGCCAGAGGACAACTTGCTGGAAATTTCTGTTTCCAGAATATGGTCCTGGGGATAGAACTTGGATTGTCAGGCTTTACAGCAAGCACCTTTAACCACTGAGCTGTTTTGCCTGCCCTGGTAGCAGCTTTTCAAAAATTGGGTTATTTTGTTTCTTTTCACAAATTACTCTTCTCTAAATTAATCTTCTATGAACTTCACCCAGTAACATTTGTGGTAAGGGGCAGAGTTGAGTCCTGTTGACTTTGAGAAATTTAATTTTGTAATGATTTCTGAACGTAGCTGATTTAGAATCTAGAAAATCCCTTTGTCCTCAGTGAAACAGAGGTGGTTGGTACAGGATCCCTCCTGGGGCAAGAGACCATGTGTGCAACTCAGTGGTAAAGCTTGGGTGGGCTTTGCCCCAGCTCCAAAAATAAAATAACATACAAATGGTAAAAAGTCCCTCTTAGTTCTCCTGGAGCCTGGAGCATGAACATGATAAGCAGCCAGATGATGCTGGAGTTGCTAAAAGGGGACTGAAATAGATGTTATTACAGGTGGCTCCAGATCACACTTTGCTTCCTTTAGTTTCCTAATTGAGCAATATAATCAGGTTCAAATAAGATTTCTTTCTCTCCTCTCCTTGTTTCTACAGACTAAGGCTGCGAAGCAGAAGCATGATGGGACAGTAGGCCTACTCACATACCCAGTACTGCAGGCGGCAGACATTCTGTGCTACAAGTAAGGAGGGAGGCCAGCCTTGGTCTTGTGCCTATGTACTCTCACCCTGAGAAGAGAGGGGCTGTGTGTGTGTGAATGTCCTTTGTTTGTTCATGGCAAGATCTCACTGTGTTGTAGTTGAATTTTTCTCTGGTCCTGCCCAGCCCCACAGATACTGCAGCAGTTTATAAAATAATCATTCAGAAGCTTATATTAATTAAAACTGCTCAGCCATTAGCTCGGGCTTATTGCTGACTAGCTCTTACACTTAAATTAACCCATAATTCTTATTTATGTTTAGCCATGTGGCTTGGTACCTTTTCTCAGCTTTGCCTTCACATCTTGCTTCCTCTGTGTCTGGCTGGTGATTCCTGACTCAGCCTTCCTGTTCCCAGAATTCTCCTCTCTGCTTATCCCTCCTATACTATACTTCCTGCCTGGCTACTGGCCAATCAGCATTTTATTTATCAACCAAATCAGAGCAACACATATTCACAGCATACAGCACGACATTCCCATCACTGTGTAGCCCAGGCTCCATGTGAATGTGTGCAGGAATTGCAGGCATGTGCCACACAATAGTTTCTTTAACTCTTCAGGAGAAGGTTGGACTTGTGGAGAAGGAGCTACAAAAGGGATCAGATATACCAGTCAGCACGGCATACTAAATCTGTAACGCTAGTGCTATTTGGATCTAGTGCAGAGTGCCTACTATGTGCTGGGGACCTTTCTAAGTCATCTCTGTGTGTGAACCCTAACAGCCTTGTAAAACTGATCATCGTTGCCCCTATTCTTCAGAAGAGGAAGCCGAGACACAGAGTGGTCAGCAGCAAATCCAGATTCACAGGAGCTAGTAAGATGTGGAGCCAGGATCCGAGTCCTGGGGGTGTTCCCAGTCTAAGATCAGGCAGGCTTGTCGCTTTGAGTCTCCGGTGGGGTGCTAGATGGCAGGGACCAGAAGTAGGTAGTCGCTCGAACTGCTCATCGTGTGGCCAGGAAGCAAAAGAGGAGAGGAGAAGGGAAGGGGAGGGGAAGGGAGAAGATGATGAGATAGAAGGAGGAAGGGAGGACGGTGGGCAAGAACAGGCAGAACACTAATCTCTAGTGGCTAATCTGTAAAGGTGATACTAATACATAATAATAAGACTCTCTAATGGTGGAGTGTGGGCTCTCTGCCTACGTCTGTTTTGTTTTGTTTTCTCTAGTGGGAACTGAACTTAGGGCCTCATGCCTGCTAGACAGGTACCCTACCACGGCCAGAGATTGACAGTCCCATTTTTGTGTTTGGCTTCTGACGCAGGGTCTGGCCCAGTTGTTCAGACTGGCCTTGAGTTCACACAGGCTTCAAATGTGTGTTCCTCTTGCCTCAGCCCCTGGGTAGCTGGACACACCCTGTGTCCAGGTCCCTCTCTGAGTTTATTTCTCTGTGCTGCTGTTTCCTGCGTGCTTCTCATGCTGTTTGATGACATCAGCGAGCTGAAGGAGTGGGGAGGTGGGGAGGGGGTGGTGGTAAGTGGTTAGCATGCTCCTTAGTTTGGTGAAACTAACACAGGCTTAATTTTTTCCAACTCTGTGGTTTCTCAGACAGATTAGTCTCTATTATAGATTCGAGCAATCTTAATACATAATTGGTTTCTTTTCCTTAAGTTGAGAAAGTTCATCTTCTCACCACTTCCCTTCCATGTATCTGATTTGCCAGCAACACTATCTGTGCACTCTGGGACTGGTATGATGTAACGTAGTCATTGTGAAGCTGTGGCCATTTGATGGGAGAGCTCATGTAGCTATCAAGGTGCACAGTCCTCATGGAAGTGCTGACTGATGATTGAGGACAGGCAGGGGAAGGACAGTGTGTTGCTTACAGTGACATGCATATTAGAACTTAATGCTTATTTCTGGGATTTTTCATGTATGTTTTTAGGCTTCAGTTGATTTTAGGTAACTGATGCTGCAAAAATTAAAACTGTTACTGGGTGATGGTAGCACACTCCTTTAATCCCAGCACTCGGGAGGCAGAGGCAGGTGGATCTCTGTGAGTGCAAGGCCAGCCTAGTCTACAGAGTGAGTTCCAGGACAGCCAAGGCTACATAGAGAGACCCTGTCTTGGAAAAAAACAAAAACAAAAACAAAAAAATCAAAAGTGTGTCAAGAGGCAACTGATACATATTCTTATCAGTTGCCCAAAATCCATTGGCAAAATGATATTGCAGTCTTTTTATTTACAAATTAGAAGAACAAGGACACCTCTGAGAGTTATTGAGCAAATTGTATAGGATTGATAGCACCTGATACAGACTCTGGTTTGTAGATATAGGAGGACACTGTTAGAAGACATTAGTGAAGCAGCTTCCTAAGATCTCAAAGCATGTTTTGCATGCTGCCATTTTTAGAGTCAAGTCTGAGGTTGGGAATGTGCTCATATTATACACAAAACTGTAGGTGGTTCACATGTGGCAGGTAAACATAAAAGTTTTCTACTGGCTTCCTCTCTGTCTCAGTCTACCTCCAACATCAGCAGGATTTGCTTATAAAAGTACTTATTGTTTAGTCCAAGGTAGGCATTTCTGTCTTCAAGTTGATGGTCTCCTTCCTTAGCCTGGAAATTACCTGCCAGATCTAATGCCAGGATTGGGTTACAGATGTGGACATCTGCATGCCCCTTTTCTAAGAAAAACAACCCAGTGTTCTCTTCTGTCTAGTCTCAGGCTAGACCGCCTGTGCAGTTGGGAGTATTTTCTGTTTGTTTTTGTTTTGTTTCACGTACTTCTGTATTTGGGAAAAGTCATGGCCAGAATGTCTAGGAATATTTATATTATAAACATAGGTAGGTTGATAGATTGAAGGATGGGTAAAATATCTGTGTTTTCTATCCCCCAGAAAGTCTGTGTGGCCTTTGCATAAAAGGTTGGTGCAAGTTAAATACAGGCTTTGTATTTGCTTTTGTCAAGGTCAGCATTAGAATGAGTGGTATGGTGAGCCAGAGAACACCACTAGGAAAGGAATGGAGAAGCAGCTTCAGATAGGCTTATAAAAGACATGTGTAATTGTTTCCATAGGAGTTGTTTAAGGAACTCAGGAATGGAGAGCTGAGATTATCTTACTCAGAGAGCATGATAAATAACAGAAATTTAAGTCAAGCCTGGAGGTGCAGGTCTGTGATTCCAGCTGTTTATCAGTCTGGGCAGGAAGGTCACAAGTTCAAGGCTAGCCTGAGTGACTTAGTGAGACCCTGTCCCAAAATAAAAGTAAAAAGAGGGTAGGTGATGTAGCTCAGTAGTAGAGAGCTTACCTAGTGTGTCTGAAGCCCTAGATTCAGTCTCTAGCACCATCAAAATAATAATGATAATAATAGAAGATACATGAAGACAGAACACTCAAAAATAGCGGAAGTTCTTAATTTTTATTTATACATTCCTTAATTATCTGAATGCCTAATTTTATTTAGCTAGCCATCAGAGGACCAGAAGGCCTGCTTCTAGATAATGTCTTCTAGACATGACAGGGAAGTTTTACCCATGACATCTCAACAATATGGTCACCTAAACAGGGCCTGCATAATGACAACGCCAGATGACATACCAATGTGAATGGGAGAAATCCTAGATGGCTTCAACCGCAGGTGAAGAGCTCTAGCCAGTTAATGGCTTCTCAGGGAGGGGGAATCAGTCTTCTCCAGGGACATGCCCCCTGATAGTTTCCAATCCCAGCTGGTCAGTCCTAAACACATATACATAGGAGCAACACTAAATGGAATCAGTTGGGAGGGAGGGTGTGTGTGTCTGTCTGTCTGTCTGTCTGTCTGTCTGTCTGTCTTTGTGTGTGTGTGTGTAACAATAATTATAGAAGAAGAGGTCATGAGTTTAAGAGAGAGCTGAGGTGAACATGGGAAGAGTTGGGGGAGAAGGAAGAGTAGAAATGATGTAAATATAATCCTCATGAAATTCTCAAAAACATAAATAGCTGGCCACACATTAAGTAAATATTTATTTTTCTTTATTTTTGTTTCTCCTCCTATGTACATATACACATATATAGAGAGATACACACAGTGTATTTATTATATTCAGCAGGTGTATATGCAATGCAACAATTCTAGGTGTGCCACTGTACACGCCTTAAAGGGAAGACTGACGAGGTTTGAGCAGTGTTTTCCTAGAGCATTCTAATAACTGATAGATACGTGGCATCCAAACTCTCATGGCGGCTCTCTAAGATAGGTGGGTGATATCTCTATCTATAAGACAGGTGGATGATATCCCCATCTATAAGATAGGTGGGCGAGCTGGGCAGTGGTGGCACACGCCTTTGATCCCAGCACTCGAGAGGCAGAGGCAGGTTTATCTTTGTGAGTTCGAGGCCAGCCTGGTCTATAGAGTGAGATCCAGGAAAGGTGCAAAGCTACACAGAGAAACCCTGTCTCGAAAAACCAAGGAAAAAAAAAAAAAGATAGGTAAGCAATGTCCCCATCTATAAGATAGGTGGGTGATATCCCTCCCCATTTTCCACATGAAGAAATTAGCTTTCAGGTCGAGGTAGTGTAGTGTCTGAGCACTTCCCTAGTGTGTGTGAGGCACCACCAACACTACTAATAAATAGTAACAATAAATAATTGTTAAATTTTAAAAAGAAAGAAATAACTCTCAGAGGAAATCTGATAATTTTGCATAGACAGAGTGATCACCTCACTAATCAGGTTATGTATGCTTCCCAAGAATTTGAGCTGAGAAACAGGAGAAACAGCCAAGACTGTAAATCGGAAGATAAGATGGGCCTAGTGAGCATGCTCAGCAGGGCAGGGCACTCACCTCCAAGCCTGACAACCTAAGGACAAGCCTAAGAGCCCACATGGAAGGAGAGCATTGACTCCCACAAGCTGTTTTCTGACCACAAGCATACTATGCATACACACACACACACACAGACACACACACACACACACACACACACAGAGAGAGAGAGAGAGAGAGAGAGAGAGAGAGAGAGAGAGAGAGAGTAAATAAATGTTTAAAAAAGAGAGAGAGAGAAGTCTGTAATGACACAGGAGAATGAGGAGGTGGGCCTTTAAAAACTGTAAGTAGAAAACCAAACTGTCAGCCAGCTTTCTTTTGCGGTGACAAAATACCTGTGGTAAGTCAGTGTTGGCTCAGGTGTCAGGGATCTCGGCCCGTGATTGGTTGGCTTCATTGCTTTGGGTCTGGAGTGAGGCAGGATGTCATAGTGGAAACATATGGTGGGACAAAGCTGCTTTATTTCATGGTGACCAAAAACAGGTATAGGGAGGCAGACCAGGGTCCACAAATCCCCTTCAAGGGCCACACCCCAGTGACCTGATTTCTTTCTAAGCAGGCCCAGCTCCTGAGTGGTTCCACATCTCCCGGTAGCACCAAAGACTGGGACTAAGCCTTTAGCACGTGGTCTCTGGGAGACATTTAAAGTACAAAAGAAGCCAAGAAACAAACAAATAAATAAATAAATAAATAAATAAATAAATAAATAAATAAATAAATAAATAAAATGTAGACGGAAGAATTAGTGGCCTGGGATTTCAGTTCAGTGGTTTCAGCTTCCAGGAGAGTCGTCCCGCTGCTGTTTGAGGGTGGAAGTGTCACTCCTGGGAGTAAGCGTTTCTAGAGCAGGTCTTAAAATCATAAGGTTCCTAAACTTCATCCAGTGAGCCCAGGATGTCTGTCCTGGGGTCTTCCGAGGTCCTGAAAGCTGCTGCCCCATGGTGTTCCAGCCTACTGCCCGCACAGGCAGTTCTTCTCTGTCTTTCTGGAATAGCTAGAGGGCACAGTGCTCCATCAAACCAAACTCCCTCGGGAGGCCATCTGGGCATGGACTCTTCGGGCTTCTGGCCCCGGAAACTGGGAGCTCGAAGAGAGCGGAGTGAACGGTGGTTGACAACAGACAAGCCAGTATGTGCTCCACCAAGAGTGGGAAGCTGTCTATGTATTTTAAGGACCAAGTGAAGTGGGTGTCACCAATGCTTTCTAAAGGAAACCTTAAATTCGAGGATGGCTTTAAGGAGAACAGCAGCTGGGAAGTCCGTCCAGAGGCCATTTCTCCAGCCTAGGGCACGATAGTGACGGGAAAGAAAAAGACCTACGACGTCACAGTAGATCAAATATGCACGAGTGATGTGTCGGGGGTAACCACACGTTTACTCTGGTGTTGCCCTGCGTAAGGTAGGCAGTGCTGGGAGAGGACTAGTGAGAAGTGACCGTTCCGCTCAGTTTCTAACGAGTGTCAGTATCTAAAAGTAATTGCTGTAATGTAATGTAAGAGTCATGGCAACGTGTCCAGTAAGCAATCAGTGAGGGGGAGCCGACCCTTCGTGACAGTACAGACAACTCCAAGCCCCTTCCCCAGCCCGCTGAGTAAAGGCAACAGTTCTGAAACCTCACAGGCAGAGCCAAGCAAGGAGGAAAAAGCAGGTCCACATAGGCAACGATCATTCATCTGGACACTAATGCTGACAAAGGGGTGGGACGGAGCCCCAGAAAACTTCGAGGCAGTAAGGATCGAAGCAAAAGAAAAAAAAAAAAACGGTTCAGTCACCAAAGAAGAAGATCAGAGGCATTATTATGTGACAGAAGTTATAACAATCAAAATTATGAAAGACTTTTGTTTTATGTTGTGTCTGAGAAAGCACAGCCAGGGTGAGAGGGAATAAAAGGAAGGGGAGAAAGAGTGGACGTATTAATATGGATATCATTATGTCGGATATAAATTTTAAAAGGACAGCCCTAAATTATTTGAAGTGAAAGGCAGACTGTGAGGAGAGAGGTTGAAAACGTGAAGAGAATAAGCCCCATAAGTGAGTGGAATCAAAGACAGACTGAATAATGTAAAGTGTGAACTCAAGGGATGAGAAGCAAAGGCCAAGATAAATTACAGGAGGTGAAAGCGGCAGCGGCCGCAGAGGGAAGAGGGACCAGAAACAAACAAACCAAAGTCAGATGCAAACGCCACGTGGAGCAACAGGACCAGGTGAAAAAAATTAAAATGTTTTTAATCCTGTCATAAAAAAAAAAAATCAAAACCCCACAGAACCGTAAGAAAAGAGTTGGGGATCCGACATGAGGCAAGACGCACACAGCGTCATTGTGGAAACCAAATGTGTTTTCTCTTTAGTGGGGTGGCTTTGTGAGTCTGGAACCATTTTGACATGTGGAAATATTCATTTTGATGTGCTTAAAGTGTATTGATTATGGTAATTGTTTTTTCTGTGTTAGTTGCAGTCCATTGTGATTTCCTATGGGCTACTGTAATTGCTTTTTAACCTGCTCTGTTGGCTAATTTGGGCTGGGGGAGCCAAGGTGACCTCTGCATATGGGCCTCACTATAATTACTAGGTAAGAGTAGCAGCGGAGACCAGCCGAAGAGAAATCAACAAAGGCAGGCCATGTGCTTGTGTACCCCAGAGAGGAGCCCATGCTGAGCAGAGGGGACCGAGTAGCCAATGCCACTTATTCCACTCACTCAGCCACTGGCCTTCGGCTCTGGTGCCTTTAGCTCTCCCGGCCCTCTGCAGCTTCCCCCGATCTACTTTTGCTGACCTCAGAAACGGAGGAAGCACTTCCTGATTCACAGCCTCGGCCACGCCTTCACCTTGTCACTCACTTTCTGTTTTTCCTATGGCCGAGTTCTCAGAAGTCCTATAAAATAGATTATATTTGGGAGTCACCTGTCGGTCTCACGTATACTTTGTACCCAAGTCTGGATTGTCACCGGGTCTGTGGCCATCCCTGGGGTTGAGCATTGGGATTTCTGTTTTCTCAATGGGTGAGTTGGCCATTAAAATAAAGATGACCTTATTTGAGAAATCAGTATGACTCCCATAAGGCCATGTACGTCTCTTTCTTGACATTCTGTCCTTCGTCGTATCAAACATTAGCGGGTAGTTATCATATCATTTGCGTCCATATATTGAGCCTTTATTATCAGGAGCTCCGCCTTGGTAACCATAGAAACAGCTGGAAGAGGATAGTTCCATCATTATCTCAGTTTACAGAGGGATGGAAGGCTTGGGAAGAGGGAGAAACTCGAGATGGTAACTCACTGCTTCTTCCAAATTAAAATTCCTTGATCGGAAGCTGTAGCTCTGCTAGCAAACCTAACCCCACAGCCAAGCACTTAGCATTGAAATCACCTGTCTCCACCCACGGGCATGCTTCCCGGATTCCACCCCAGGATTCCATGCTTTGAAGTGCACGTGCAGGAATGAGAGCATCATAAATAGATTTCTCTACGTTCTGAGTGGGGTTTTTTCACATTCTCATTTCTTAATGAATACACATTTTTAGATAAAAGTCAAGTTTCCTTAGTTCTTTTTCGCAAATCATTTTCTTCCCTCTAAAAGCAGCTACAGCGATAAAGGGGGTTTGGGTATGTCTTGTTTTTCCCCTTCTTTCTTATCATCATGATCATCATTGCTATCTGTCTTTCAGTCCTGGAGATTCAGCCATGTTCCTTAAACGTATGAGGCAAGTGCCGAATCACTGAACCACAGCTTCAGCCTTGACCAGGTTGCTCTAATCATTACAGACCTGTGCATCTATGAAAATAGGTTTTTGCATTTGAATGTATACTTTCATAGTTTACATAAATGTCAGTGTAGTCCTCACATGCTCTGCAATTTGCTTTCTTTGGGCCACGTCGACTTTAAGACCCATCTATGTTGTACTTTGAGATTTTCATTTAAGTTCCCAGGGCCTATTAACTGTCCTCCTGTTACAGTGACTTGAAAATGAAGAAGCATATTGCCGAAAGATCTCAAATCATTTCTTGTTTGATGAGGAGGGAAACCTCTGGCCGGAAGAGCTGTCTGCCATCTCTAATTTGAAGGCTGGGTGGGGGTATCTTTCAAGTGTGAGCCGCAGCTCTGAGGTAAAAAGCATCTGGTCTAGGCTGGAGTAATCTGTGCTGGCTGGGTGAGGGATGAGGAGTGGCTTTTAAATACAATTATGCGCAGCGCATGTGCTATTGAAGATGCCATGGCTCCCTCCCGGCAAGATCCCGTCATGCTGGTGTTGATGGCTGCGCTCCTTTGCGATGGGCGAAACAGAACCAGAGTAGACAAACATCTCTTCCGCATTTGTCTGACACACGGATAAAGAAAGACTCAGGTCTCGGTGCTCCCTCTGTAGTTGGTGAACATTTGTTGAACACCAATAGTGAAGTAGACACAGGACATGCAGCTGCTTGCAATACCATTTCCGGCTAAGAAGGAGCCTTGGTGAGTTTTTCTGTCTGTGTTTTATTAAAGGTCCACACACGTTCCTGTCGGGGAGGATCAAGTCCAGCACATGGAACTTGTTCAGGATCTAGCTCGAAGTTTCAACCAGAAGTATGGGGAGTTGTTTCCATTGCCCAAGTCCATTCTCAGTAAGTGACAAGAGGGTGGTTATGAAATCTGGGCACACACTGAAGAGTAAGTGGACTGGAGACTTGGAACTTCGCTGGGACTAAATTTGGGGTTCTTAACTGGAATCCTTGTTGTTTGGGATTATGTGGGACTAGGAGATGGTATTGGAGTCTAGAAAAAAAATGATGAGCTGGGCTGTGGCAGCACACGTCTTTAATTCCAGCACTAAGGAGGCAGAGGCAGAGACAGGCGGATCTCTGTGAGTTCCAGGCCAGACTGGTCTACAGAGTGAGTTCCAGGACAGGCTCCAAAGCTACACAGAGAAACCCTGTCTCAAAAAGGAAAAACAAAATTGTAAAATATGGGAGAAACTTTTAAAAAAATCATAATTTTGGTTTCTAAAATATATGTCAATAGATTATATAAAACAAGATTTTATTTGATAGAGCAAATTACATGCCCTATTTTACACATTGGCCAACTAAGGCTCAGCAAAGCTCACTCTGTTCAAGTCACATGTCCAGTTGGTCCCAAAGCCTCACCCTTCCTTAACATTCACAGTCAGACAAATGTCAGGAGAATGAGAAGTGCTCAGTCCTAGTCCAGACAAAATGAGGAAGAAGGGATGATCCCCAAAGGTGGTTTTCTGAGATGAACAGGAGGGATGGGGTAGTGCATCTGAAATGCCAGCCTCGGCTCTGCTAGGGTGTCTCATGCGTTGAAGTCAACCTCCTTTTTAGCAAACAGCATTTCTATTGCTGTTTTACCCACTTCAGTCTCATCTTTAATAGCCATAAACAAAGCAGGTATCAATAACACTGGTGTATGGAACATAGCTTAACACCCCCCTCTGTGTGTGTGTGTGTGTGT